TCAATTTAGTTCTTTTTCTTACTTCTATTTCAAGTAAATTACATAAATTTTCTTCTTTTTGTTCCTGCGCCATTTGACTTCTTTTGTTCCTGCGCCAATAAGTACCAATTATGGGAGTTCCATTATATTTTCCCTTTCTTTTCGCCAAAGTCAAGCCGCTTGCAGACAAAGAAAAAACATCTCCACCACCAAAGTCTCATGGTTGTTATCTGTAGTATTCACAATGTTCCCAAACAAAGAGCAAGTTACAATATTTCTTTCTGAACCAGAAGATGTCTCTCTGTAATCCACAATTTCCATTAGTCACACAAGTAGTCATTTTGTTTCAATTATTTAATGTTCCTGTTTTATTCTCTCCTTCTTCTATGTTTTAAAAATAATGATTTCTTTTTTTCCTTTTTTCCATTAACAGTCCAATTCAAATTTAAAACTTTACTCATTTTTTGAACCAAGTCTCAATATTTATTTTTCGGATTTGTTCAGTTCAAACATCAATTTTCTATCAGGTTCTTTTCTTTTAAAAATTACATCCTAAAATCTTCTATGCCCCATAATTCCACAGCCGCTGTTTCAGGCTAGGGGTCTTACAAATAAAAAACGATAGCTCCAAGCATTGTTTCGAGCCTGGGTTGGTTGTCACTCACCTGGCTTCAAAGAACTTCATTCCTTTCCACTTTCCTCCTGCACATCACTTTGCCCGGCTTGTCCCAGCTTCGTGGCAGCTGCCATGGCTGCCGCCCCCCACCACTGACTTTCAGAGAGTTCTCTCCAACCTCCGAGGAACTTGCCTGTTCCTCTTGGTCGTCCAAGGTGCCTCTCTTTCTACCCCGTCCCTGTAGGACAGTTCTGGTCCAAAGACTCATCGGCAGTGGTTCATCAGAGCCTGCTAATTCCCCGACTGTCTCGCCGCAATGCCAAACATGAAGTCGACCTAGTCAACCCATCTTGAAGACCAAAAGTTGGGGAAGACATACAGGCAGTCCTCAATTTACAACCATTCATTTAGGGATTGTTCGAAGTTATAGAGCCACTTAAAAAAAGACTTATAACCATTTTTCACACCGTTGCAGCATCCCCATCATCACATGATCAAAACTGCCACATATTTATGATGGATCCCATGATCACCTTTTGCGAACTTCTGACAAGCAAGAGGGAAGCCAGATTTGCTTAATAACCATGTTACTAACATCACAACTGCAGTGATTCCCTTAACCACTGGGGCAGGAAAGGTCGTAAAAGGGAGCAAAACTCACTTAACAACTGTCTTGCTTAGCATCAGAAAGTTTGGGCTCAATTTCAATTCTGGTTTTAAGTTGAGAACTACCTGTAGTCTGTAGCTGATTGTGTGGCCTCTAAAGTTTAGCAAGTACCATCATATATACATATCTTCCCTAGTCCTAGTCCTTGATGGTTCTTTAAACAATAATTGGCTGAAATGCTCATGACCCAAATATATCTACAGTGGTAATAAAGAGGCAGGCTTAAAAAAATTCAATATGCTGGTCACAATCATGTGATCAAAGGCTGGCTCTTTAGAATAGAATAGAATAGAATAGAATAGAATAGAATAGAATAGAATAGAATAGAATAGAATAGAATAGAATTTTTATTGGCCAAATTTTATTGGCCTTGTGTGATTGGACACACAAGGAATTTGTCTTGGTGCATACGCTCTCAGTGTACATAAAAGAAAAGATACGTTCATCAAGAATCATAAGGTACAACACTTAATGATAGTCATAGGTTAACAAATAAGCAACCAGGAAACAATATCAATGAGATACCAGCAACAAGGTTACAGTCATACAGTCATAAGTGGGAGGAGATGGGTGATGGGAATTTATATGTGTCAGAGTGTAAGAAACGGTGGGGTATTCATTGCATGTTTGCGGCTATCATATATTAGCACTTAGCAATAGCACTTGGACATATACCGCTTCACAGTGCTTTTACAGCCTTCCCTAAGCGGTTTACAGAATCAGCATATTGCCCCCAGCAATCTGGGTCTTCGTTTTACCGACCTCAGAAGGATGGAAGGCTGAGTCAACTTTTAGCCGGTCAAGATCGAACTCTTGGCAGTGGGCAGAATTTGCTTATAATACTGCATTCTAACCTCTGCGCCACCACTAGTCAAGACAGAGTATTTGAATGCAAAAACTTAGCCTGTTGGGTTCCTTTCTTATTTGAGCAAAAAATAAAAATAAAAAAATGTTTGGCTCTTGCCAGAGAAGAGTGTTAAAAATTCTGTCACACTCCAGGGTGAGTGAAATAATTATCATTTTAATGTTTTTCTTCCTTCCTCAGCACCGTTGTGGGGTAGACATGTTGGAAAGGGCATATTCCTTTTCAAACTGACCATGAATTCAAGGAGGCCAACAAAGGGTGACAGATTTTATAAGCTTCTCTTCCTAGAAAGAGGTTACCTTACGTTATCCCCACCTTAACCCTGTCAATTGAGTTAGACTGAGTGTTTGTGACTGGTCAAAGGCCACCCAGTGAGTTTTGTAGCTGAGTAACCATTTAAATTAATTAACCACCAAGCTCAACAGTCTAGCCATGACAGTGTCTCTTTTTTAACAGCCTGACAACTGGTGCAACCAGAGCTTTCTCATTGCAAAACCCAGAGTGAGTTTATTATTTATTCTTGCCTGCCTGAGAATCTGTAAATGTGTAAATTAAATGCAAAATGCGAAAGCCGCAGGGGGACAACAAACAAATTTAAATTGTCTGGCTCCTACATTTATTTATTCAATACACCATTCAACTCCAGGCCAATTTGGAATGGGTCACAAAGTAAAAAAAAAAAAAAACAGGAAAAAATAACAACAGGACAAAACAACGATAAAGATAAAAGGGACAAAAAAATGGCAACATGGGGAAACAACAAAAGACAGATCCACACAATTCAGAAGGTTTGCAGAGGCCTCTGAAAACACTCACAAGGGAAGAGTCACCAAGATCTGGAGGGGGAAACCTCCACTCAGCCAGAAAACAATTTTTATTTATTCTGTTCAACAGATGTTCATTACTTTAGAAAGAGGAAGGATCAGCATTCCAACAGAATCTAAACACAGCTAAAGGCTTTTATTCCCATGGATGACTTTAGTAGGAAAGTTACGTTGAGGCTTAATTCTTGTTCACAGGAAACAAGAAAGAAACAGCCATTCCTAATTTGGTCTGGATCATGTTCTCCATATGAAAAGCAATGGATCTCCATGTGAAAAGCAATGGTCTCTTAGTGCTAAGATCAAATGGGCTCTAATGGTATTTTGATACCAACAGATTACAGTGAATAATCCAGCTGTAAACTATGCTTGGATAAGAATCAGAAGATCTATTAAGATGGTAGCAAAATCCAGTTTGGTTTCGGTTTCGGAGACTGGCATTTGAGTAAAAACAGCTGGGTTTGAAATGTTTGGCAAATTCATTTGGTGATCTACTTGGAATCCTACAAATAAAATAAAAATTAATATGCGAGGGGAAGAACTTTTTTTTTAAAAAAAAACCCATTTGATTATTTTAGCATGGAAATGTCTCAGATTTCTGCATCCTATTACAGGGTTGTACAATTATGTCCTTGGATTCTATGTCAATCTTAACTTTAGCTTTCACTGAATGGGTCAGAGGATCCCAAGCAACTTCTATTGAAGCCATCTGCTTATTGTCCCAGTGGCAAGAGTTTGGCCAAAGTTTTCAAACTGTTCATCAATTACATTTTTCTGATCTTCCAGGACCAATATGGCAAGTCATGCAACAATCTGTGGCAGTGATCTGAAGAGGGAGAGTGAGAGGGGCAGGGGGAAAAAGGACAAGGAGAAGAAGAGGAAGGAGGAGGAGAAGAAAAAGAAGAGGAGGAGAAGGAGAAGGAAGAGGAGGAGGAGGGGGAGGAAGGAGGAGAAGGAGGAGGGGGAAGAGGAAGAGGAAGAAGGAGAAGAGGAGGGGGAAGAAGGACAAGGAGGAGAAGGAGGAGGAGAGGAAGGAGGAGAAGAGGAAGAAGAACGAGAAGGAGGAGAGGAAGAGAAGGAGAAGAGGAGGAGGGGGGAGGAAGGAGAAGAAGGGGAAGAAAAATGAGGACCCGGTTTGTGGGGGCAATAAGCTGACTTTGTATAAAAAATAGTACACCGCTTAGGGGGCCCAAAAGCCCTACTAAGCAGGTATATACAAAAGTATGAAGGCTATTGCTTAAAGCATTGTAAGCCGCCCTGAGTCTCTGGAGAAGGGCGGCATATAAATTGAACTAATAAATAAATAAATAAGAGGAGGAGGAGGGGGGGGAGAAAGAGGAAGAGGAGGGGGAGGGGGAGGAAGGAGAAGAAGAGGAGGAGGGGGAGGAAGAGGAAGAGGAAGAGGAAGAAGAAGAAGAAGAAGAAGAAGAAGAAGAAGAAGAGGAGGAGGAGGAGGAGGAGGAGGAGGAGGAGGAAGGAGAAGAAGAGGAGGAGGGGGAGGAGGGGAAGAAGAAGAAGAAGAGGAGGAGGAGGAGGAGGAGGAGGGGGAGGAAGGAGAAGAAGAGGAGGAGGGGGAGGAAGAGGAAGAAGAAGAAGAAGAAGAAGAAGAGGAGGAGGAGGAGGAGGAGGAAGGAGACACCGCTTAGGGGGCCCCCAAAAGCCCTACTAAGCAGGTATATACAAAAGTATGAAGGCTATTGCTTAAGCATTGTAAGCCGCCCTGAGTCTCTGGAGAAGGGCGGCATATAAATTGAACTAATAAATAAATAAATAAGAGGAGGAGGAGGGGGGGGAGAAAGAGGAAGAGGAGGGGGAGGGGGAGGAAGGAGAAGAAGAGGAGGAGGGGGGAGAAAGAGGAAGAGGAAGAAGAAGAAGAAGAAGAAGAAGAAGGATGCTGTAGCATCTGTGTGGGAAGGGAACTTAGGACCGATGCTATCTGCGGATCAGGTCGGTCTCCCTTTCCCGACTCCCTCTTCTCCGCCGCCGGGATGGGCTCCTTTTTTTTTTTTTTTCCCCTTTCCTTTCCTTTTTTTTTTTGAACCAGGTACCATGATGTCAACCGTGATGCTGCCGCTCCTGTGACTTAAGCCAGCCTCTTTTGGCGCAGACTCCGTCCATCCCTCCCCCGGTGCTGCCGGAGCTGGCTTTCCCGAGCAGCGCATCTGCAAAGCAAGGTCGCCTTTGGCAAAGCGGGGCTTCTCCCAACCTTCCACCCTCGCCTGCCGGAGTCCGGGGGAGAGAGAGAGAGAGGAGGAGGAGGAGGAGGAGGAGGAGGAGGCGAGCTTTGAGCCAGGAGGGTCCGGCCGGAGGAGCCAAAGGCGCTTTTGCTTTGCGGCCATCCCAGGAGGAAGAGGAGGGGAAAAAAAAAAAAAAAAAAAAAGCAGGCCAGCCCGTTCCCCCGAGATGAGAGCCCCGGGCTGCTGTCTGGCGGTGGTGCCGCTTCTGCTGGCCGTGGCGTGGGCGGAAGGAGACGGCAAGGCGGCTAAAGAAGGCGACAGCCCGGGCAATTTTATGGAGGACGAGCAATGGCTGTCTTCCATCGCCCAGTACAGCGGCAAGATCAAACACTGGAACCGCTTCCGAGACGTGAGTTTCCCCAGAGCCGAATCTGCTTCTCCCCCCCACCGCCCCACTTTCCCCACCCCCCGCTTTTTTTTTTTTTTTCCCCTGAGGGCGGCAATGCCTTTTTTTTTTTTTGGCCCCGCAGAAGCCGGTGCGAAAGGCGGGCGGGAAGCTCCGTGAGGGGAGCCGCCGGCTGCTCTTCGCTCCGCAACTTGCTACAATTTGCCTCCTTTGGAGGAGCCGCTGTTGGGCGGAAGGAGCGGACGGACCGTTTGGCGGCTGCAACAATCCGGGGCCGGGCTCCGAGCGGCGCTGCGGCTGGGGAAAGGATTTGGGGGGAGGGGGGGTTGTTTCGGAACCGGTACCCGGTTTGTCCCCCTTTGGGAGTGGGGGGGGGGAAGAAAGGGAGCTGGGAGTGGGGTGGGGTGTGTGGAGAAAAGCCTTCTTTCTGATGAATTCGTTCTTATTCAGCCTCACATCCTTCCCAGGTGGGTCAAATGAGGACCCGGGATTTTTGGGGGGGGGGATGAGAGGGGGCAACAGGCTGATTCTGTAAACCGCTTCGACAGGGGCTGAAAAAAAAAAAGCGCTGGGAAGCGGTCTATAAATCCTAAGGGCTCTCTGGCTCTCCTGTTAAACGTTTTTTTAAAAAAAATTGTTTTATAACATCTTCCGTTGGGAGGTTGAAGAGTGTGTTTTCTAGGCGTCCAAAGCGTTAACATATCATCATCATCATCATCATCATCATCATCATCATCATCATCATCATCGGGCTCTTGCTTAGCATCGCTTATCGCAGTGGGTCTCAACCTTCCTAATACCGCGACCCTTTAATACAGTTCCTCATGTTGTGGTGACCCCCCCCCCAACCATAAAATTATTCCTAAAACCATTGAAAATATGTGTTTTTCCAATGGTCTTAGGCGACCCCTGTGAAAGGGTCGTTGGACCGCCCCCCCAAAGGGGTCCCGACCCACAGGTTGAGAACCACCGGCTTATCGGGAGAGCGATCGGGAGGAAAACGGGACTCTGGGTGCAGCAGCCGCCGGGGTGGGGTGGGGTGGGGGGCCTTGGCGGCGTGTCTTTGCGAGACAACTCGCCCGGCTGTAGAATTGGCGAAGCTGGGTTTCGCCAGAGGGACCCCGCCCTGCCAAGGGGTGGATGGGCGACCGGGCGCAAATGGGGGGCAGGGGAGGGCAGTCGCCACCGATACCTTCCTTCCCCATTGCCTCTCGGACGTCTCCTCCATCTCTCTCTCCCCTCTTTCACCTCCAAAAACAACCCCCAACCCCAGGCGTTTTTAAACCCTCTGGGCATGGCATGCTTCGCCAATCCTGTGCCCGCCTGGCCACCAGAGTCCTACTGACGGGGATGCGGACTACCTGAGGCTTTTTTTGGAGGGGAGGGCGCCAGATTGAGGGGGGGCTGCCCACCCCTGGGAGGAACGGGGGAAGCGGGGCTAGTGGGGGGGACGGACGCGGAGAATAGGCTTCACGTGGTGATGCCTTGGGCCAGGCGGGGCTCCCATTGCTGCAGTGGTGAAGAACTCGCCTCTTTTTTTATTATTATTATTAATTTCCCTCTAGTGACTGCTGAGAGGGGCGAGATGGGGCAGGCGGTGGGAGAAACGGCTCCTCACTATCAATCGCCAGACTGGGGGCAAAGAAGCCATCTAAGGCAAACAAAAAAAGAAAAAGAAAAAAAAACACTCCATCTATTCAATAAATGCCTGCTGGTTTCCAGGTGCCCATCTTTCCTGGGAATTCAGCCTCAACTCTCTTCTCTGCAAAATCTGATCTCTGAAGGAAATGGCTCTGAAATGGGGGGGGGGGGAGAGAAGGAGGAGGATGGTTTCCCAGCACCGGAAACCTTGAAGAAGGTGGGAAAGCTGCAGGGTGAGACTCCTTCAGTTGAGACCATAAGACGGGTCCCAGACTGTGTGGGTGGGATAAGGGAGGGGAAGGGAGAGAAGCAGGATGCTGATAAAAATACCCAAGCAAGCAGTGATGTGAAGAGGTGCTTCTTTCTCTTTCCCTCCCTCAGAAATTCACCTGCCTGGAAGGCAAAGGAGAAGTTTGAAATGCCATCCCCTTCTTCCTAAAATGATTTGGCTCCCCTTGGTTGCAACTTGGAAGAGATTCTGTACGCAACCCTGGAGCTGCCCTTTTTGCATAATTTTGCTTCTTTCCGAGGCAAACTGGCGGCACTTTTCCTACCGCACCTGGCTCAGCTGATGCCCTGCAATGAATTAGACAGCCCCGCTGCAACTGTTGGTGCTGAGGAACGTTGGAGCTCAGGGGTCGAAGTAAAGTGAGGGTTGCTACATTTAGGAACCAAATAAACTTGCCCCAGCTTGATTTTAGGGATCCCCGTGGCTGAAAAACTACCCAGGATTTGACAAGGTTTCTTCCTAGATTTGCTCCCCCTAGAATAGGAAAGCTGGATCTCTCTTGATTGCTTCTGTCCACGTTGTCACAGAATAATCTCTCTTTAGCATAAAGAGATGTTTTTCTTTTAAGTTCTTTGTTTATTTTGCTGTGTGGACAATGGAACACTAAAGGGCGATTTGGCTCAGACTCATGCAGTCGTATTACTAAGTCGCATCTCCTCCCAGTCTCTAAAGATGTATTCTGTAGGATCTAGAATGAAATGAAAGGCAGAGCTATCGAGAAAAAAGCGAGTTGAAAGAAGATGCTGTTTCCCCTGCTTTACGGTTTAATTCCAGTTACGCTTTCCTGGCCGATAAAACCATGAAATGCATGAGGGTTTTTTTTTTGAGACGGCTCTTTTTTAAACTTGTCTTAAGCCAAACCTGATCTTCTTCTGCTCTTAAATTTAGCAAATGAAACCTCAACCGCTTTTCTTCACACCAGGTAAAATTTCACCTATGTAATTTCTTGAGTGCCAAACGCTAAAGACATAGAGAGGCCATGAAAAAACGAAGGGAGATCTCCATCTAAGCTGTTTTCAGCTCCTGGAGGGGGAAAAAATTAATAAAGTTTGCAATTTTATTCATGATCCCGGACTTCTGCAGCAGATGGTTTAACATCTGCACTAATAGACAAAAACATACTAGCAATTCCTGCGGGCAGTAACTGAAGACCACTTAGGACAGAAATGCTTTTCCCTCAAAAGATTTTGCCAGCCCCACTCTTGATTTTGAATCACATTACCGTTAAACATTGGATCTCTCCCAACCACAAATCAAGATCCAGTTGTATCTTTGTGAGCATAGTGGAAAGTTTAATCCATAAGGGAGAGAAGCAGTGAAACATTGCAGCAAAACATTGAGTGCAGCCACTTCAGCCAGCTAGCCAAGTGTGCTTCCTTCGAGAATATTCTCCTCTGTTATCCATCTTATTTTCTTTTCCACTTCATCCAAGACAGAAGTCTCTGACCATCCTTAGCTGCCGGTAGTCCAGGTTGGCATGTGTTGGGTTTCTTCCAGGGGTGAGATCCAGCAGGTTCTGACAGGTTCTGGAGAACCCGTAGCAGAAAATTTGAGTAGTTCGGAGAACCATCAAATACCATCTCTGGCTGGCCCCAGAGTGGGGAGGGAATGGGGATTTTGCAGTATCCTTCCCCCAGGAGTGGGGAGGGAATGGGGATTTTGCAGTATCTTTCCCCTGCCACACCCACCAAGCCACACCATGCCCACCAAGCCACGCCCACAGAACCGGTAGTAAAAAAAATTGGATTTCACCACTGGTTTCTTCACCTCCATTTTTTTTTAAACCCCATACATTTTTGCACTCATGCAAACCTAGAGTTGCCAGTTGGCAGTCCCCCCATTGAATTTAGCAACTAGGCATTCAGAATCGGGAGATCCTATCAGCTCCTTCGTTTCAATCCCTTCCTCTGAGTATTAGAAAGGCTGGGCGTTTGAGCAGATATTTTCCAGCGTCATCCTGACATCTGGTCTGGTCTGTGTGAAAGCTCATCCCAGAGATGAGACTGTCTGCTCAGTTAATGGGAAGAAATGCCTGGAAGCAGCTGTGGTTTCACTTAATGGCAGCTTCATCCATAGGAAAAAAGGCCATTTGATTAAGCAATAAAACTCGGAAAAGCTAGCTTTTGCCCCTTTGACTGTATCTGGAGAGCGACTTCATTTTTTCACTCACTGCCCTTCCTTCCCTGATTTATTAGCAAATGCTTTCCATTAAAGGAGGGGAGAGGAGACATTAAGCAGATTGGATCCCATTCAGTCAAGATCATGAACATTACCCTGCCTCAAAAAAAAAAAAAAAAAAAGACCATGAAAAGCAAACAACGTGAAAATGATTTGAGCAACTCTTAGGATGGCTTGCCCACTTTGCAAAACCCTTCTTTGCTTAGGATCGACATGGTGGGGTCGTTTGCAGGTCTCGACAGCCTCAGCCTACCTTGCCGCTGCAGAGGGATGTTGAAATAGGGAGAAGGCATTTGGAATCGCAGTGGTGGGATTCAGCCAGTTCTGTCCGGTTCGGGCGAACCGGTAGTGGCGACTGCGGGAGGCTCCGCCCACTCACCCGGATGCAATGCGTGAGCACTGCTCATATGCATGTATGCGCGCGCTCACATTTGCGAACCGGTAGGGAAGGTAAGTGAATCCCACCTCTGTTTTAGAGCCATTCACAAGTTTTCCCAGCTGCAGTGTAGATTCTGAAAGACAGAGATAGGATCCACAGGTAGTCCTCGACTTACAGTACTTTGTTTAGTGACCGTTCGAAGTTACAACAGCACTGGAAAAAAAGTAACTGATGACCATTTTTCACACTTAACAACCATTGCTGCATCTCCAGATGCTTGGCAACTGATTCATATTTATGACCGTTGCAATGTCCCAGGGTCATATTAGGATCCCCTTTTGGGACTTTCGGATAAGCAAAGTCAACGGGGAAGCCAGATTCACTTAGCAACCTTGTGACTAACTTAGCAGCTGCAGTGATTCACATAACAACTGTGGTAAGGAAGGTCATAAAATGGGGGCAAAACTCACTTAACAAATGTTTCACTTGATAAGATTATAAGATTGCAAGATTATA